TTGGTGTTATCTGCACTACACTCTCCCAAGTGAGCCACGGGCTGGCCCTTCTTAGAAGTTTTCCCCCCTACCCTATCTACTTCCTCTGCTATGGATAGTGAAGCTTTTCTAGTAACCACAAGGCTCTTCAGTACAAAAAAGAGAAAAGAAAGCTTTTGGGGCTTTCTAGAACCAAAAGAGTAGCCCCAGGCATATTTGCTGACCAATGAAAGGGATACTGATGAAAGGCCTATGACCTCCTCATCACCTTCTCTAGGGACTGGTGGCTGATTTGATCTTGGTGAAGTGAGGGTGGGTAGGTGGGTGAAGATCATGGCTATAGAGTGATTCATGAAGAACTCACCTGGAATCCCTTTGAGAATTAGTAGCCAGACAGATGGCATAAATAGGATGTTATAAGTTTAGGAATCAGGGCTAGTCTAGATCAATTTTCACCGAAATGTTTTCTATAAAACAGTTGTCCTACAAAATACTCGTGAAACAAGATTCCATGGTTAAATAAGTTTGGAAAATGCTACAACTTCTTCTTGAAATTTCACACGGAATTATCTTATTAGAGGCTCTTAGGACATTTGCAGCAAAGAAGAATGTTAATATTTTAGGCTTTGTGGGCCAAACTGTCTTGATCACAAATATTCAATTCTGCTATTGCAGTATGAAAGCAGCCATAGACAATACATAAATGAATGGGCATGGCTGTGCTCTAGTGCAACTTTAGTTATAGAAACAGATGGTGGTCTGTATTTGGCAGGTGGGCTGTAGTTTGCTGACCCCTGGTCTAGACCACTAACTGCATTAAAGCATCTCCTTCGGTTGCCTTGTCCACTCGCAGGTGGAGATATTTAGTACTTATGTACAATGGTTCTCCTCAAAAGATGAAATGTTGGAGTATTTTTGTTTGAGGAATCTCTAAATCTGTCTGGAAGTTCAATCAAAAGGGCTGAATCCACTGGGAATTCACACTGAGAAAAGAAAAGTCACTATGTACAGGACACTCTTCATGAATACACACATCTAAGTCACCCAGGAAAATCATCTTAGGGACCACAGGATATATACTCACAGCTTTCTAGCTGCAACTTGCAAGTCTGTGTGTCCATGGGGTATTTAGATAGATCCATGTTACATGCAACAGTCGTTGTGATTCTAAGAAAGAAAAAATTCGAAAAGAGTTCAAAAAGAGTGTCATGAGGAAGCTATAGAAAGTATACATTCCTTTCCAAGGGCCACTCTGAGAGGACTTACACTTGGACTCTTACAGTGAATATGTGGCTTGGAGCCTACATCCAAAGCATCCTTGCGGTTTTCTGTGCTAAATGCCTGGGAGACTCAAACCTGGATCCAGAGTGGAGGAAGTAGGAATGTTGGTAAATCAGAAGCAAAAATTACAACAGTATTGCAGGACAAATTCACTCATTGGCTTATTTGAGATGCTTTTGCATCTAGCTTTCAAATTTAATTTTCATGACAAACTCGTGCGGGGCTAGAACAATGATCGTTGACACTATTGTCACAGTTTGACAGCAGACTTAGAGACTTGCTTACACTCAGGCAGTTTTGAGTGGCTGAGCCGGGGCTGGAGCCCAGGTCTCCTGGCTTTGGTCTCCTCACAGGTCCTGTTTCCTCACGGAGACTCAAATGCAGAGAAAGTAGAGGGCACCAGATACCATGGCTCTTGGGGATCCACACCCAGAGATGTTCAATACAATGTCAGGTAAGCCCTCACGGCGGAGATTCCAACTGATGGGCCTTTATCTTTCTGTTTGTTCAGTATCACACATTTTTATTAAGCATGCTTTTTTATTAAGCACTGTGCTAGGAGCTTGGAGAAGTGGAGGTGATTATAGCATGGTGCCCACTTTGAGGAAGATACACTCCCTTAGGGGAGACAGAATAACAACAGTTACTATTTCCTGGTTACTTACTGTGAGCCAGTCTCCAGGGATGAGTGCTTCGCAAGCATGACCCCTTTGAACAGTTCTACTAGGTAAGAAATATTATTATTCTCATTTTGCTGCTGAGGAAACTGAGGCTCAGAGAGTGAAGTAACTTGCCTAAGGTCACAGAACTGTTAAAGGACAGAGTGGGGACTTTAACTCAAATCCATCTGACTATAGAGCAAGGCTATTAAACCATTACCCATTCTTTGTAATTCTTACATGAGACTTGTGCTGTGTGGCCATAATACAGAGAGCTGGAAATGTATGCATGTGTGTGCACACACATGCATACACGTGCTGTGGGAACATGGGGAAAAGGGACATTAATGTTGATTGGAGTTAAGGTCAAAGGAGAGGTCTAGTGAGGCTTCTTGAAAGAGTTGAGATTCAAGCTGGTCTTTGCAAAAATCAGTGCTGCTGAGGAGTGTCCAGAAATCCCATTTATTGGTTAGTTCAGTGCTTGTTTTATAACTTCAGACTCTTCCTTGGGATTAAAGATCAGTCATGTGAATATTTGGTTCCTGGCCTCCTCCCCATTGCCTCTGGGAGCATTAGGTATGCACAGTCCTTGCACAGAATGAGTCCGCTGCCTGTTGGCCTGCCTCCTGCAGCACCAAGGAAGCACCTTTCCTGCTCCAGTCAACCAGCAGCTCCCTGAACAATGGCCTCCTCCCCATTGCCTCTGGGAGCATTAGGTATGCACAGTCCTTGCACAGAATGAGTCCTCTGCCTGTTGGCCTGCCTCCTGCAGCACCAAGGAAGCACCTTTCCTGCTCCAGTCAACCAGCAGCTCCCTGAACAATTGGGTGGAAGAAACTTTCGGCCTCAAGGATTTGGGGAGGGGGCAAAAGTAGAGCCCATGGCTGCAGGTGACAGAGGCTTTGGGGCACTGCACCCTGATCTTCTGTCTGTACAAAAATGACTCAGCCAGGAAGAGATGTGTTCTGGAGCTATCTCAGCTCTACTAAGTCTCACGAGAGGAAGGTTCTTTAAATGTGCCTCTCTGCTCTTGCTGTTGCCCTCACTTCTTCCCTTGCTAACTTCCTTTTACCCTTTAAGACTCAGCTCACAATCCTGTAAAAGCATCCTCTAATATCACCCCCAAACCACTAACCTATTCTCCAGTTTTGGTCCCAGCACCCAGGACTTCCTC